TGGCAAAAGAAGTAGGATATGTTTGTGGCCGGCAGCTCCTCTCAATGATTGATGACCCCACAGAGCAACATTGTCTTTCCCTTGCCGGGGTCGCCTCTCACCCAAAGTAGCTGATTCTGGCCATTTCGCCATCGTTGAAAGTCGTCGTTCCCTAGGATCCAGCTCCCCCCTTGATTAACTTTCATCGGGCTACGCCTTTAATTATAATATAAAGTACTCGTCCCTATGTTAGAGGATAATACCTTCGTTAACTATATTCTTAAGTCCGGTGTACGTAAACTGCCCCTTCGTTTACAACGTATTTTCTTTTTTATTCTAAACAACAAGCATGGGTTATACATTGAGATAGACATCTTCAAAGCCACTCGGTGGTGTTCATGGTATATCTTGAACCAATGGAGACCTAATTCTGCTAGACTGTAAAATGGCCTTTCGATAAATAGGGGTATCTATTTTGTAGCTCCACAGGTAATCGTGCAATAATTATCGGTGCCAATGCACGTAAGGCGTTGCCAGATTCATCATATACACACAGGGAACCCCAATCCGGGTCGATATCCTTCAGTTGGCTGCAGATAGTTTCGACAGCATCCCGCGGCAGGCCACGACTTTTTTGTTCCATTCCATCCTCTGTCTAAACCAACAGACCCATCGATAGGCCAACTTCATCAACATACGATAAGTCTATTATAAGTCCACGGCCTGACCACGTGAGTTCAGTGATGCCCCAGTTCACTCCGTAATTAGGGTCTGACACCGAAACCGCAGATGGCTCCACTAGGCGATTAGAGCTATCCATAAAGAAGTGAAGTTCTTGAGTACCTAAATAGATACGGCCAGAGTCAAGGTACGTTTTCAAAGTGACGGATGTATTTGTATTAGGTAAGACGGTGATTATCAATTCATTCGCATTTGAATCAATCTCGGAGAGACTCGCATTTGAAGTTGAAAGGTATTTCGGGTAGTAAATTGAACCTGAGTTGCTTTGATAGAAGACTCGGTTGCCGTTATCGGGGTCGAGACCCAGTATGTATGCGAATATGGTGTCAGGGCTGGTATTCTCGAAATTAATCTCTAGTCCTTGCGTGTTCTCACTGAAAGACCGGGTCGTCTTATAAACCGGAATCTTGTCGGTCATGTTGACTGTACTTAGGACATCATGTGGACTTGAAGATACTTGCGCAGAGACCAGGTGGGGAAAACTTGCAAACTAATTATACACTGATACAATAGCGGTAACACCATCTTGACTTTGATAAACGTGCATCGAGGTCCCGTATTAAGATGGCGGGATGTTGACTCAGGAGTTGGGATAGGTCTAACTCTCATCCCTGGTTGACACAAAAGCCTTCACGATGCTGTCCTTCGGCGACCGAGAAATATGTCCAGCGCAAACCTCAGCGGCTCAATTCACTTTGAATACGGCATCCAAAACATTGATGTCCCCAACCGTGACAGATTCTACAATCACAACCCATTCCTCCTTGGAGACTTCTACAGCATCTGTACTCTGTACAACGCTGTAGCGCCTGATTGGGCAGGAATCGGAACGCATGTAGGTGTACGGCCGAGTCTACAACGGTTACCCTGCCAATGCAAGTAATAACTCCCGGTGACTCGAGGCTTTTAACATGCAATTATCATTCAATTCCAAGCACATGGTTTACACGTGGGGTCTGCATATACCGTAGGTAACGTACCCGGAGTGCTTGAGTGTCCTCTTCTCTTTGACATGACTGCTATATTAGACAGAGCAACCCACAGTTCTCTCTTTCCAGGCAAAACAAACCGCCGTGACTACGAATTTGCACTCAAATGTTTTGCAACAGTGAAGTACCTGGAACGATTAGTAATACGACATGAGAGCCATGTATCAGCGGAGTTTGAGAACTACTGCAAGACAAACGACATTATCCCTATCAGCATGCCTCCACATTAATCTTATTTACTCCAGCCATTAGATGTTGCATTATACTCGCCATTGAAGCGTGCATACGGCGATAAGATCCCCCCCCCCCCATATTCATTGCTCAAGATTGACCTCTTTTGGATATCGATGAAACTCTGGCTCACGGCCGGCAGGTAATACATTCCACGATCTCGTCCTTCACTTCGTCATTACTCTCGTCGCCAGTCGTGTTCCCGTTTATGCAAAGGCTATCGATTCTCTTGCCATGTCCTGTATGCTGCTTTCCCGCGGCTTGGGCTTTGTTTGTGCACGAAACCCATGACGAAGTAGGCTTCTGCTTGTTCAGGCTGTGGCCGAGTTGCATATTTTCATGGACAGCATCGTCCTCGATAAATGGGCTGTTGCTAGATCTGCTCGTCTGGGCAAGCTCGGCTTTGTGCGCAGACCGATGGGCTAAATACTATTAACCAGCCCACCTTGGCCACGCAAATGATCGGGAATACTCGGAATACCAACCTTCATCCGCTTCACGAAGAAGCTGGTCACTAGGGGATGGGGTTCGAGACATATCAATAGACGCACTGTAGTTCGGCATGAAAATGTTCACAGGGATAGTGGAAATATTAACTATGCGATCTGCATCACTGTTGAGTAATTTGCAGTGATTTAACGGCGGTTGGGGTACCTACTTGCTGTGGACGAATGGCCGTGGGATCTATGCGTGTATTCGAGGGTTGCAAGATTGAATAAATATGTATAGAAGGAAGCAAGGAAGTCGAGAACGGCGAAAAGTGAAGGGGGAACGGAGGTTTTCAATGTCAGCTTGAATGCGTAGGCTGATCGCATTCTGTACTGTACTGTACCCACTTTCAACAACTAACAGATCTTTCAAAGTACTTCATGAAGTGGAATATCAACAAAAGTACGTCCTTTGTTTTATACTTCCTATTTTATAAGTATTTGATTGAGTGGGATAACCAGCAGAAGTACGTTTGTTGGTTGATCCTTGTAACCCCATTTTTATACTTCTTCAGTTGTTAGGCAGCAACACACCAAGCTGGAGGACAATAGGCAGCAATCCTGGTCTGTGCACAAATTGTGTATATATAAGCCATGCTGGTTTCCGCCTTGTTTATGTCGTTCACAACTTTCTCCTTATATCTTTCAGAATCTAACGCACTAATATTTTCACAAATTTGACCAACGTCACCAAACTAGGCCATGCTCAACTTCGTGGTCACGGAGAGGATGGCTGAATTTATAGCCAATCTTCCCAGAAACGACAACGGGCCCAAGGTAGAGGGCAAGGCGGTTGCTTCAGATACCGAGACCCCGTACGTGCGTTTGATGAAAGGTGATTTCTATCCTGGTGGGAATAAAGCCCCAAGACCGTACACCTGGATCGAGCGGGCCAACAATGTGGCGGCGTCACAGAGCTTGATACGCATCAATACAGACCTTGGCCCAGCTCTTGCGCTGCAAATTCAGTTTCGCCCGGCGACTGAAGGATGGGAGGTGGGGCCAGCAGGTGGACTTGTTGATGCTGGCGAGGGAGGCGCCCAGGCAGCAGTCCGCGAAACCAAGGAGGAGATGCCAGTCCAGTTTTCGTGCGATCCCAAGGCTACCCCGCCTATATCAGCGGTCACTAGCTCCGGCATTACCAACGAGCATAGCCAACTGTTCGTCGGCACTGGGAAACTCAAGTCGGGAGCCGAGATTTTGGACAACTGGATTATTACAGGCAAGACGGAAAAGGAAGTCGACGAAATCAGTATTGCAATCGCTATTCCGACTACCAAAATCATGGAAACACTAGCTGAATTCCGAAAGCATGAGATCAACATCTGCGCCCGCCTTGCATGCTACGTCCAGGGCGCTGTCGATGGCAGCCAGCAAGGCGGAGAAATCTGGCAACAAAACACACCAGGGGAAAAGACCGACCGGGGCTTGTTTAAGAAGATTGAGACAATTCCCAGTTTTGTGTCTGCATGTGGTCCCCCAATCAGTTGCTCAGATTGTACTGACGGAAGCGGAGAAGCTGCCAAGCAAATCAAACAAATGGTGCTTTGAAAGATCAATGTGAAGGAATGCCCCTGGCCACAAATACTTCGTAAATGTACCTAGTTTTCAAAATGAAATTGAATATTTTTCTGCAGCATTATTATGGATTCATAACTCGGACCTCAACTGAACTGCCATCTCTCCGCCCTAACAAATCCACGATAAATACTTTGGCCAAAACGTCGAATCCCGAGTACTCTCAGAGGGATTAGACAGAAGGACGAGAGTAAGCGCATGAAAGTACTTGTAACCACTTCCCGTGGTCTTTCAACCGCTACTGAAGCTTGAATTATGTGACGGCGCGGTTATCACTCGTGAAGTACAGTACTTTTGGGGGGCTGAACGACATCACCGACCTCCCCATCCTCCTCCTCCTCCACGTCAGGGAATGACGGTCGGGTTGTCTGGAGCACCGTCCATGCCGGCAAGAGTGGACACGGCGTTCGAATTCCATACAACGTCACTAGAAGACGAGGACGAGGACTCAACCTTGACAGCGCCTGGACCAAGTCAGTGCCGGGGCGTGACGGGCCGTAGTGGTGATGACAGCTGCGTCGTGGCCATGGTGAAACTATAGGGGAAAGGGGTACTGCCTTAGTGGAGCTTCCTCTGCGGAATTCAGTGCAGGATAATTGGCGTTAGAAGTAGTTCGCTTGTGCAGATCATCTACCGGTACCCTATTAACGTTCAATATCGGCCATGAGTCTAGGCCTGATGAATTGTAGGATCTGTGGAATCCTCGTCTAACAAGAGGACTTCAAGCAGCAAGGGCAGAAGCACTCAAAACACCCTGCCCACAGCATAGTCTAGTCGAAGTTGACTATAGTGATGGTCTGAGCAGCAGCATATTCGGCTCGGTGGAAGGAGGCGAATCTTCCGGTGGCCACGGAAGCAATATAGACTGTGCCCCATATCCACTGCTTGGCGAGGAGGGAAGCAGTGGCTACAATAACCACGATATCGCCTCGTCGCCACCGTGTATATAAGGGGAAGCAGACGACTGCTTATCGTACCTACTGTGGAATGATGCAGTCCTTCAGCTCAGTCGGTAGAGCGCCCGCCCCAAATCACCATTTCATAGCTTGTATAGACTGGCGGGAGGCCATTGGCTCGAATCCAATAGGAACTGTTTTTTTTTTTTTGCTTCTGAAAGTACGATATAACCTCTCTTTTACCATATCCGGACGTTGCAGTGTGGTGGCGGCGACGATGTGGTGGTTGTCATGAGAATGTTAACTATGGTTTTGGTGGGGATCTGCACCAAAAAAAAAACACTCAGATGATGCGGGGTTTTGGCCGGTGCGAGGTTTTGGCACCCACTGCGCCAGCAGTGGGTGCACGGAAGCCGAAGCGACCCACGGGTAGTCGCTGTGTTGTGGGTTTCCCTACCAACCTTCCACCTCCAAGGCCAAGTAACAAGGAAAACAACGTAATCAGGAGTCTAGTCTTTATCCTTTACCTCCATCATTTTTACTCAATGATACACCGACTTGTATTAATTCATGTTGTTTCTTCATATGTCCGGTATATTCGCACATCACTTCTGATTGCATCTGCTACTTCGATAGACGTGTCTAGGAGGGATCTCGTGAGATACTTCGAGGTGGAGCCACTTCACGTGAAGGACCAGGCTGAGACGTTTCTACTTGGTCTGAGCTGCTAAAATTTGAATCGACGTTGATGTGAAGTCCACTGTCTCGGCTTTGGAAGAGGATTATTGGTGGCAGACACATCGTAAGCGCCCCTGGGCATCTTGAGGATTTCAAACAAAGAGGTCGGGGTGTAAAAAATGTGGAAGTGGCTCACTGGCTACTCGGAGAGAAAAGCAACGAAGATTCCCTGTGTATTTATAATTTTGAAACACCTCTAGTCATGCGGAGACCAAATTATGGGATCGCTCTCCCAGGAGCCGCTTGAGCCAAATTGGAAAGGCAACTCTCTGCTTGGACAGGGCTACAGACACAGTCAGGTCAAGGCCAAGGTCTGAATCACCCGCAGTGCGACTCCATCGCATGAAATGGTTTTCATTACGGTGTTAGTTTACCGAAGTTACCCACTTTTGCGGTCCGGCTCCACAGAGTCCATTGGGGAAGCATTTTCGTCGTCTTCCGTTTACATCTACTCAAGAATCTTGTGGGTCCCAACCCTTTTATTACATCCATTGATGGTGTTATCTTCCTCCCTGCTCAAGCTCGGCCACCTTCTCCCTCCAGTAGTTCGTTAACACTGTCTTTTCATCACGTGGAACCGGTGCCGCATAATATACCGGCTGGTAATGTGTGGGGTGGGATAAACCGTCTCAACAAACTCGATACCCGTTTTCCAGCCGAGTCGTTCCTTCTCCTTGCTTGACTTGAGCATAGGCTGCTCATGTCTTGAGTAGCTTGCGAAGTTTTCAATGCGCTCGCCCAATTCGATGAAATTTATTCTCAGATGTGTTGCCAAGAGAGAACTCTCTAAGAATTCGAGCATGTAACTACACACGCATCATAACCCCACCATCAAACCAGGCCATTCATGCCGTGCCGTGCCGGTCCCTACCCTTCCAGGCCTTTACACTACCCTTTTGACTCGTCACTTTTTTCTTTGGTCCAAGTGTTGTACCAGTTGTGAAACATAACTTGCAGATCGTTGTTTAGATGCGGCGAGCCCCGATGAATGCGGCTGGGAGTATCGTTGGCCTGTATGCAGGACCTTGTGGTCCTGAGCCCTTTGCCAATCCCGCAGGTCACGTCACCAACATTGAAGCTGGCAGAAGCAAACTCAGCTGCCAGAGTCGCTCATGACGGCGTGAGTCATAATGGTCGGATCGAAATAAGCGCCTCTCGGATCTGAAGTTGCACCGGCAGAGGCCTGTTAAGCTGAGCCTGACCCTCCACCCCGTAGGCACCGATATTGCTGGGCATGGAATGGGTGAGGGGGGTCACCTGCTTCATCCTTTGGGGAGGGATATCCAGGGCCAGCCGCATAATTCGTCAGGGACGCTACCTTGCAAGTTCGGACAGGGCCGGGCTGTGACGAAGGTGCCTGGCGTACTTCCGTCTCGTATATGCAATGTAATCAATCCTGGCACCATCACGTAGGAAGCCAGGCAGAGCCGAATGCCTAGCACCGATGGAATAAGGGATTCCCTCTTCAGGCAACTTTGGCTGCTAACCATCGCTGGGTACATACCCGTTCAGCCGTCCGTCTTCCTGAGCACCAATGTAGGAGTTGGAAGATGTTAACTTCAACATTGTAGAAGGCCATTGCTGACTTTCCAAAAGCAAGCTGAGAAGATGAAACAAGACGATCTGGCGGAACACGTTATCATCACATTTATCCGGCAGCGGTTTGCAAGCACGCTCAGTAGAAGGTTCTTTGGCTTCAGCTGCAGCGGGAGGACCACAAATTGGCTTTTAATGCCGCGATGCACCTGTGACGAAACGCTAGCTCAATATCCAACTCGTTGATCGATTTGACACGTAAACTGCGCTTAGGACCTTGGACGTGTAGCTCATACATCCCCTCAAAGTACATGTCAGCTCATTCCAAGCACAAATACCTGGACACCCTGCTTTTAGCCTACCGGTGTTTGTGCTCTTGGCAACCTGGCTGTGCGCCTCACCAACCTTGGTACCCAATGGTTTACGTGGCCCTGCCTTGTCTAGTCCCAGCTGCCGTCATATATAAACCCTTTCCCTTGCCCACCTCACAACCGTGAAACACCAATACCATTTTTGCATTCCCAGCCAGCTCTGGCCGAGCAGCCTCAAGCCCAACCTCCCGCCAGTCATCATCAGTACCCTACACTCCTGGTCCACGCTCTCGTGCTCTGTGCTCGCCCCGGAAACACCACACATTTAGCCGTGGCCTTGCAGAAAAGAATGTCGCCCTCATTTAAAATCGACAGGACCGCACAAAGCGGCTCTGCCGACAATGATGGTCAGAACTACGGTGACGAATACACGCCATTATTTCGCGTTCCCAAGGGCGATGGCTCGTCCCACAATGGTCGTAGGTTCTGGGGCCAGGTCTTCCTTGGGAAACACACGCCCGGATTGGACAACCCAAAGCCCTTTGTAAAGTGGCCGGTACACGTTTGGAACGTGCTCAAGATCACGTTGCTCAGTAGTAAGTGGCTCTTGCCTGGGGAGTTCAGCTCCGAATGAGAAAATCGCTTGTGCTTCTCTCCCTGCCAGAGCGTATTCTTATTTTCGATACAGACTATGTCAACGTCCTCTTGTTCTTTGTCCCACTCGGTATTGTTGCCGGCGTGTCCGAGTGGAGCCCCACGCTTGTCTTCACCCTCAACTTCCTGGCAATCTTGCCTCTTGCCGCTATCCTGTCCTTTGCCACCGAGGAGATCTCGTCCAAACTGGGCGAGACTCTCGGCGGCCTGATCAATGCCACATTTGGCAATGCCGTTGAGCTTATCGTGAGTACTATCTCCTGGCAATGCGAGTGCATCCACATAGACTAATGTGTTTTTCAGGTGAGTATTATTGCCCTGCAGAACAACCAGATCGAAGTGGTCAAATCCTCCATGCTTGGCTCCATCCTATCGAACCTGCTGTTGGTCATGGGCATGTGCTTCTTCCTTGGTGGAATATTCAACATGCGAGATGCGCGCGGCAATGGCAGGGAGCAGGTGTTTGCTTCCGGCACGGCCCAGACTGCCTGCTCTCTGATGACTCTGTCATCGGCATCGCTTGTGATCCCTGCCACTCTATTCATGGTCCTCGAGGGTGACAATGACAAAGCCGCCGCACACAAGAGCGTCCTGATACTATCCCGCGGGACGGCCATCATCTTGCTGCTGCTCTACTGCCTCTATCTGTTCTTCCAGTTGAGGACCCACAAGAACCTATTCAACCCTGAAGTGCCAGAGAACTCAGAGGACGAGGACGAGGAGGAAGAAGGGGACGAGTCATCTATGAGCGCTTGGTCTGCATCAGCAATCCTCATTCTCACGACGGTTGTGATTTCATTCTGCGCGGACTACCTCGTCGACGCTATCAATCCTCTTGTCGAGACAGGCGCATTCAGCAAGAATTTCATTGGTCTCATTCTTATCCCAATTATTGGTAATGCGGCAGAGCACCTCACGGCCTGCGTCGTGGCCATCAAGGACCAAATGGACCTGGTACGTATCGATATGGCTGACACCGTACCTTATGAATGATAAGACTGACATTTTGATACAGGCCATGGGAGTTGCCGTCGGCTCAAGTGTACAAATTGCCCTACTCGTAACGCCATTCCTCGTCCTGCTTGGCTGGGCCATCGATAAGCCAATGGACTTCCAATTCGAGATGTGTGAGTTGCCCATATTGCTCCCACGATATTTGGCTTCTTTTGTGGGTCCTTTGGCTTACAATACGTACACACATATAGTCGAGACGGTTTCGTTCTTTATATCTGTCCTTGTCGTTACCTATGTTGTCCAAGACGGCAAGGCGAATTACCTCGAAGGGGCTATGCTTATCGGTTTATACGTTATCATCGCCTTGGCCTTCTACGCTACGCCTAGTGACGCCCTCAACAACATGCTGGCTTCTCTGTTCTGAAAAATCTCAGACCTGGTGAACCAACGTCTGCATTCCGTTTACAGATGACGACTCCTGGTTACTCTCAGTATGGTCGGCCACGTACAGGAATTTGTTACTGGAAACATTCAGTCGAAACATTCAAGTCTGGCATCAGAAGCTACACGGGACGAGCAGAATCTTACCACAGAAGATTGGAAAACTTAAACTTTGACATATATCAATGCCTAAGAATAGAGAGACAATACATAAATCCAAATCGATTCAGCGTACCACTTTTAATACGAGGTCTTGCATGTAATCTCCACATCGAAAACATTAGCCTCCCGTACAATCATCACGCTTCTGTACAGCTTCTGCATATCTAAGCCAAGCGACCTCTGGTATCCAGACGGACCATGAGCTCCAATAATATTTTGCTGTAGATATTTGTGGTCCCAGACTTAAATAAGCTCAAGGTAGCGACCATGCGGGCTGGCTTCACCGAGACTTTCAGGACATTAAAAATGGCCATGGACGACAAAGTGGACATTCCCTGACGAGAAAGCCTGGATTACCCCTATGGAGAGGCGCCGGAGCAAATATCCACGTCAATGGTGCT